TTTGAATGTTTCCTCAATTTTGTGCAAAAAGCATCTGTTTTTTAACCTTTGAATTTTATTTTACACATGGAAGGACCCTAAATGTTATTGGTTCCATCTTTTAATATGCTAATTTTTGACGTTTCTGAAGGATCTTTTAATGATGAACATGTACGCTTGAGTTGTGCGCTTGTTAGTTACGTGCTTCTGACTGCTTGTGGAATATACCTTTCCCTAGGTTGAATCTGGTACTCGCCCTCTGGTTAGCGGAACTGGGTGGAATCAGAGTAGTTTAGGTTTTCCTATCGTTGTGTCGCTGATTCTTGGTTCTGTTGTCGATTCTAGGTGACCTCGTAAACTCTTCAAACATAATATCTCTGGCTTGAATACTGACCAATATTTGACTAGTACTGTACGAATTGGATATATCTGAAATTCATTTGCTTCTACTTACCATACGAACACAATACGAAACCGAAGAGGGTCTTAAAGTCTGCTTGGCTAGAAGTTTTACGTGTTAGATAATGATAAGACCTTTGGGAGTTATTAGAATCTATAGTAAAGTTGTTTTCAAGTTTTGTTAAACGATGGCTATTAATTCGGTGTGCGTATGAGAAACAGGTTGATCAACGTTGTTCGCTTTTTATGTCTTCACCTTAGCGATTAATAAGCATCAAAATGTACCTTGAAGTATTTATCGTTGACTGCTAGACACTATGTCATTCAGATTTCATCTGTTGATCATTTTGATGTTCTGAACTAATATCGAAGGGTTCGGGAATTTTCGTCTTCAAAAACGTGCGCTCACTGACTTCATGAGAAAGTAATGAGCCGGAATAGAAAAAAATTAGACTGTATGTTAATGATAAGGGCACAATAATTATAAATTTTCGGACGGTGAGGCCCCAACAGAAGATGATAAAGCCACTTAGGGTTCATCAAGAAACCATTTAAACGATGTTCGAACTTGAAGCCTACACAACAAGCAGTTAGAACTCGTTATGCAGACACATTCTAACACAGACCGGACGTGAAAGAGGCCCCATAAACTTAACTGACCCAGTCTGTAAGTAACAGATAACTAGAATCTGAAAATTTCACGCAAGCTAGTGTTGGTAGAACCCAGAGGAGCGGAGAAGAAATAGCTTTGCTTGTCAGAAATATTCTCTTCATTACTATTATCGCTAACACATCTCATGCGATTGGAATGCTCGTGTTATTAAGATACCATTTGAAATGCAAATGAAAAGAGTTGTTGATTAGTCTGATTATGGTATTTCAAATTGTGATGTGGTGTTAGACACAGCCAACACCTGGTATTCAATTGGAGGATGCTTCATTTTAGGAGAATTTAGTACACTTAATGTTGACTGGAAAGATTTTGAAATTGAGTCGTCAGAAAATCCTCTCAAAAAGAACTAGTTGATTGTTTACTACATGTGCACTAAATCAACATGTGAAAAAAACAATTAGCTACGACTCGAATACTGAATCATACTTCCTGGATCTCATGTCGACTCGCTATATTGCTGCTGCCACAAGCCTCAATTAAATGCCACTCCTAGTTAAAAGTGAACATGTAGTTATAGGTTTTTAAATAAAATATCATTCTCCGTAACGGTATATCAGCCAGACTTATGTCAAACATTTTGAAGGCAAATGAACAAGAAATATTGCACTCAATGCTCTCAAGAACTTGAACAGTGAAAATAAAGTGCTTTATAGAAAATAGACCTGAGATGATTTGGAATTCGAAAATAAAAGTTACAGCACTGCACATTCCTTAGATTACGCCAAGAGAACTGAGGTATTCATCACGAAGATGCACTAAGGAAATCCGTGCAGATAACACAACAAATCGGTTTAAAAGGCGGGTATAACATACAAGCATTCAATCCCTCCTAAAAAGAGACAGTAATCTGTTAAAAATGGTTCAAAGATCAGTAACTAGGTGGGTTCAGGGAATCTTAAGGCTGCCGCACAATAGGATGCTGGGTGAACTAAGCCTACTTCCCTCGTCACATAGAAGTACTAGAGGTGACTTGATCAGATTTTAAATTGCTTAGTGATAAATTTGCATCTGGCATGACATTAGTTTTCTTGTCTTTCAGAACTGAGAATTCACAATGACATTTGAGAAAAGTTTGAAGCATTATTTAACCAAGAGAACTTATCTACTCTACTAGAATAATAGACCTACTTCTCAATTGTAGGTTTGTCATTTTTTGACTACCTAATCTATGTTAGGTGTGATTCTTTCCAGTTATCGCATGTTCTGATTCGAAGGATGTGCGGTTGAGAACCAATACACTACAAGTTCATTAGCTCAGAACAAATTACCTGTGAGCTGACTATCGACCTTCCCACCGAATTATTAGTTTGTGAAACTTTCTACATCAAAACGTGATCGAAGCTCTGTCTTACAACACATTCGGAAGGAAGTTGGGTCACTTGAAAGACCACCATCACAAGGACTAACATAGAAAATCCAGCTGCTTATTACTCAAAAACTGAAATTTATGTGATACGAATCAGGTCGCTACACCCTTCTAGTAATAAGTAAATCCATAAAACATGCGGTTCCGTAAGTCTTTTGCGTTGTTGCTAGAATAGCTTTGCTGTATATATTCTAAATAAGAGCTTCCAATTATATGTTTCCACCAGACCACCAATGAGTACGTTGTAGTACGCCTCTCTTACTATGACTAACCATCTCGGGTCACACAATATATGACATACCTACTACACTTGTAATGCTTCCCCAAACTCTTCCACTTCTGACTTCTGGTTTTACTTAATTTGGTATTCGTAGATTATGAAATTGTGAAGAGATAACTAGTTGTAAATCCCAGAATTCCCGTAGAAACCTTACACTAATTTAGATTCAGTTCCAACACAACTTTTATGGGGAACATTCGGGGGTTTAAAAGCACCATCGGTGGTTGAATAGTGGTTATACTTTTTGCTCCATAAACATTAAAAGTTGTCACCAGTTGTAGGGCATCAAACAGATTCCCGAAGTCTTTTAAGAGGAAACTAAATATATTTATAAGAGCTCAGAACGACTCGTGAATTTATCAATACTTCTTTCAGATTTGAAACGAAGGCGGGGACAAAGTCTTAAGCTTGAGTACTTTGGGTGTCTGTTCAGCCATGATGAAAATATGAAGTACGATAATGAACGAGGGAAAAAATATATATATATCCCAGGAAAAACACGAAAAAAAATCACAATGTTTAAAAAAAAGGTAATAATATATAAAAATCCCAAAAAGGAACAGACTCACAGTTGCAGTTAGGTGTACCAGATCACGACGGTCTCACCAATGATGATGATACAGGTATTCAGTGTTTGACAACGCTTCTACCAATAACACCTTCTAATATGCTTTGTTCCCACCGAGAGAAATCAAAAGACAGAGTCGAGGAGATCGGAAGAGTGTATTTGGCGATAACCAATATATCGGGAATCTCTGATCTAATCTGGCTAGTGATTGCGGTTGTTGTTGAACACAGCGTGACAGCACGTGATCTGGTGCGGATGCATGACCGAGCGCCTTCAGCTAGATGAGTCCACTAAAACATATGGTCAGCGTCCAATGTCGAAAACCTATTGAGCTATTTAGTTTGGGGATTTATTTACCGCTACACTTGTTTCATATCACTGTCATTACGATGAGACATCACTAACTCAGTCCTGTCATATATGAAAGCTTATAAAGCTAAGGCTTATTTTATTTTATTCACAAACAATCGAATCGAATTTTAGGCTACAGGCTCACAGTCGAAATATGACGACATCATTAACTCAGGACTTTTTCCTCATCGTTCCATCCACCATTCTTGATTTATATAAACGGTCTTCCACAACAGGTATCGTCTGACTTATCAATTTTTGCTGAGGATGTGAGACTTTGGAGAGAGATACGTAAACAAGTGGATATACAGGCACTTTGGGAGGATCTGAATCAACTTCAAAGTTAGGCAGACGACAACGGACTTACCTTTAGCCCTTCAAAATGTAAAGTAGTCCATCTGAGACATGTTACAGACTACAGATACAGCTTAGGAAACTTCTCTCTGAAAGTACCCCAAGTTGAAAAAATGAGGACTGCTGGTATACTATAATTTGAAGTCTTACTCTAACCGTAACAAAAATGCCTTTAGGGCAAACCTTGCACTGGTAACACTCATGCGCATTTTCGGCCAGTTCGATGGAAGAACTTTCCACATAATCTTCAACAGTTTCACTCGTCCCTATTTAGAGTTAGAAAAAATAGTATCTCCTCTCTCACTCCAAAAGGATAAGGACGCTCTGAAGCGTATCGAAGGGCTAGCCACGAAATCAGTTTGGGGACTCAAATTTGAGTCTTATGAAGAGCACTTCCAATCACTCAACCTTTACCCATTAGGGTACAGGCGTTTTAGAGGTGAACTAATGGCTCACAGTATCCTTGGAACTTCTGGACATACCTTTAAACACCTACCTAAGTCTAGCTTCAATGTAAATCTAAGGGGTAACACCCAGAAACTAGCAACACAACACAGCAGAACGGACTGTAGACACAACTTCTACTCTTTAAGAGTTGTCAAATGCTGGAATTCTCTGCCGGCTGAGCTAGTCCAGGAGAATTCCCAGGAGACCTTTAAGAGAAAACTTAACCTATTCTTAAGGACTAAGGATAGTATTTTACTATGATTTACCTATTTGTTTTTTCTCTATTATCGTTAATATACCTAGGTTCCTTCTTGGAGGTATTGGTGATCCACTGCTACTAAGAACGGAAGAAAGCTAAAGGAAAGCTCCTTCTATTCCATCCACAACCATTTGCACCATTTGAACCAAGTCATCGAATCAGAAACTGTTTGATGCAATAACTTAAATCAATGATATTAGAGATTACTTAGCGCGCAGAATAAATTGACAGCGCAGGTTATTTCTACTCATCGGAGATTTTGCAAACCAAAATTATATTCTGGTCTTCTCGATTGAATTACTCGTTCGATAGATTTGTAGGCATATGTTCTGTGATTCTGTTAGCTCCATTTCGAATTGTAATGGTTCGTCGTCTGCAAACTCCCGTAACGTGCCCATGAGTAATGACCCTGGACTTAAAGTCGAACAAGTAGTTTTTTAAAATACTTTAAAGTTTTCAACTCAGGTTCGTTGGTTTTATCGCGACTCCAACAACAAACGTTGGGTACCGTTTAGTGGTTATGATTCTATCAATTTGGAGTTGAATTATCGAAATCGCCTTGTCTGTAATAAGAGCGACTGTCTGTTTGATCAAACTGGAGCTGCAATATGCAACTCAGAAGATTCTTCTGTTGATCACAAAGTATCTGTAAGGGGTGGACTTTATGAAGCAGATATTGATAGGCGATGTTGTGTTCCTACTTACTGGCCTGGTAAATTTCGTTTAAGATTCGTGGTATTATTGTCCGTTTATATCTGTTTAGGTCTACTGTGTAATTTTATTTCGTTCTCTACTTTTCCATTTTGTGTGTCCGTTCCTTTATTGTCTATTGGGACTCAATATCATTCATAGATACAATACAGACGAACTATAGTTAGTTAAAGCTGTTAATTTTGAATGTTTCAGTTAAACGTGATGTACCTTAACTTCTACTTCTTTGTATTACGCCTGAAGTAAAACTTTTGATCTCCTTAAAACGTCCTTTTTCTATAGCGAAGGCGCTAAGATATTTTTTTAATCAGGCAATGGATACACATTTCCGTATATTTTAAGCCTGTTGGTTGATATATATTTACTGAAGGGTAGACCAGCTTATCATTCTGTAGTACTACAAAAACGATCTATTTCTCATCTTAGAAAACTGGATATATTTTCCCACAGTGGGTAAGATAGTTAAGCAGTTATTGCATATATTATCAGTATGAAAGATAAGATTTCAAACCCCTTGTCTTAAATTACAAACATGAAACCTTTATTTAAGAACTGGGTTTTTCAGTGTTTGCTAAAATTAATTTTGTCTACATCTTAGTGATTTCAATAACCAATCGCTGTCATTAGGTACGCGTAAACTGTATTTTGATTTATCTTCAGTTGAAAGGTGTCCCGCACGTATTTTGCGCGGTACTTGGTTTCGCGAAGGTTATGGTGGTGCCCTTGAACCTTTTGACGATGAGTCAATGGCTGAACGTTTAGAAGCTGAGTACATCACTTGGTACTTAAGAAAACCTCAGAATATCGCTATCTCGGATAAACCTTTGTACTCAAATAGCAGCTTGTTCACTAGAATAGATGTCAGCACACCACTTCATTCTGTTGTTAGCGCTCCAACTCTTCGGTATGCAGATACTATAAAGACAAGCGAGTTGGTTGCCGAAAATTCTCAATCCTCTCGTTCTGAAAATAAAGATTTAACAAATGGAGTAGAAAACTATTCGGATGATAGCGTCTGTGGTTCCACTGTGCTGAAAAAACGAGTTCGTAAGTTCCACAATGTTACTCGTATTCTACTTTGTCAGGACTTTTTGCAAGTGAGGTTGTAAGTTTACTGATTTAAAATTTCGTAATTTTTACATTGCTTCTTTGCTTTCGCGTACGTCTCTGTCCCATGGTTGTTAGTTGGAAACACTAAAAATTAATAAAATACTTCATAAACTGTTAATATTTATTTTGATTACAGTAACTTTGTTCTCATCACAAACGTCGTACACAAACCTCACAAATTTCCTCATGTCCATATTGTTCCCACTTTAATTGCTGTTTTCGGTGCATGAAATAATAACAGCCTTCTACATCATGTCCATACTGTTAAGTATGAAAACCTACTAGTGACAGTTTGCTTAAAGAAACATCCCAATTCATAAATAGTATTTTAAATCCAGTCAGACAAATGAATCTTAACATTTGTGGTTAGTAGTGAGTACACTGTTCAAATTAGTCACTAAATAATTGTATGCCTACATCAAATAACAAATAGGTGGTGGTGCTTTAAATTACTTTTACGTGGATTTGTGACGATATCAATGTGTTCTTCAGAATTATATTGTGAATATTGTGTATTAAACCGTGTAAATAACCGTTTTTAGTATGAGTTCTGAAATATTTTATCACTAGCATTTAAGAGATGCTGTTTGTTCAAGAACAAAATATTAATTGTTAACGACGATAGTCAAACGTTTTGCAAAGATCCCTCCATTATTTTTAGTACGATGAATCAAAACTAAAAGGTATTATAATATTGGTAACTGAGCCTCAGTTTGTGTTAGGCTTCGATACTTGCTTAAACTAAGACCTATGGATACTATATGACACCAATACAAAAGTATGTAAAGCAGTGTCTGGACTTGCCATCACCATTTGAAAATTACTTATTTAGGCCATTGGTCAGTGGCTTATTGGTTAAGACAAATGCATTACAACCACTAAACAGTAGGTCTGAATCCTGTATCATTTAATTTGTTTTCAAATTACAATCAGTATCCGTAGTTTTAGTTTCAAAAGTACGTTTAAAAGCCTAGTACAGAATTTGTTATTGAGTTATGTTGAGATTTAGATACTTAACATAAAGAAAACAATGAGGATTCACTTATTCTGGAAAGTATTCCCTTCATTAAGTAATACTAGTTTCCCATTATATACAAAAACCACTTGTGTATTTCACTCCCCGTATGTAAACAAATTCCTTTTGTCATTAAACCAACGATGAACAGACTTGCTATCAGGTGGTATTTGAACAAACGTTTCGACTGCAGTGTGGGTGAAACGAGAGATTGGTTTGCAATATCAACTAATTCAAATTTAAATCGACCTTTCCTTTTCTTACCATTGCAAAACTGCATCATGAAATTGTTAAATAATGTTATTAATACACTAGTGAAGCGAGCTCTACTACTTTACTGTTATGCATTTTGTCGGTTGTATTGTGGGGATTCAATTTTCCCCCGTTTTCTGAACTTTTTTTTAGCTTGTCAAACGATTCACTTCACTGATTGTCATGTCGATTGTTATGGAGAAAATGAGTTGTATTTGTATTATGAATCCACTAGTTTGTATATCAGACAAAAACTGGGAATGCAGAAAGGTATGTCCAATTGTACGTAAACTCACAAAGCAAATAAAGTTCCAAACATGTTCTACACCTTTTGACTCATAGGGATTACTGACTCTCACTTGTTATTTATTCATTACAAGTAGCATATATTAATATCGTTCTAAAGATTATTTACTGTTTTTAACCTCAGCGTCTTTTTAGTAATCATTTCATCAGGTTAAAAGTTAGAATAACTTTTCGAGTACTTCAATTAGGGTAGTAGTTGATTAATATCTAAAGGAGAGGTTATTAATATGTAATTGGCAAACACGTTACGATAGATTAAAGTTTTTATTACCCCTGAAAACGACTGGCTCAGATAAATTGTAATATATCGAAATATCATATTAGTTTATGAAAAAATCAACCATTTTTGTTCACTACTGTTGAGCATTCATGAGCAACATACGACTTGGCATGGTTCTGGGTTGTTCTAAGCTACTACACTTGGGATCAGTTTGGCTAAAAGTAAATAACCAAATAAAAAGAAGCCACGGCGGTAATATTATTAATTATGAAAAACTAAGAATTAAAAATATCGTTCAGAAATTACAAGTAAAGTCGGAGGATGGAAACCATTGGGATAAATGAAAACCTAACTATAATAGAGAAAAATAACGACCAGATATATCTGAATCACTGAGATCCACTTCCAGAAACATCGCTTACTACCTCCACTTGGTGATTTCGGTTATTTCACAACACTAAGCTGTAATTCGACACTTTATAACAACAAAGTTCAACAGTCATTGACTCGGTTGACTGATTCTGTGTCTACGTCTGATCTCCCCTATCCCTATTTAATATGCTCCCATGTCAACCAATATTGGGTACTAGAGTAAAATTGTATCTGAGGCCGATAATTAATCCAAATTTTGATGGCTGAAAACTTTGGTTGGTATCTCTCATAAGAAACGTTTTAACGCCGACAAATCCTAAGTACCTGTATGATTTCATCCTTCCCCGACCGTGAATTTCAATTTCTTGCAATACATCTGTTAAAACAGCTACGGCTTCTTTGCTCAAATCACTGGAATTTATTCAGATGAACTATAATTTCCCCAAAGCAATTCATACTTATCTCAATTCTTCGAATTTCAGTCGGTACTCGTTTGTGTCGTGGTTTTAATGATTTGGCCCTAAAGGAGGATAAAATTGCCGATGTTTCTCACCTTTGTTTTGTTATCCATGGGATCGGTCAAAAAATGGGTACTAACCTTATTCTGAACAATTGCAATGAGTACGTTTGATATAGTTTTTGTTACTTGTCCAACTTTTTAAAAATAACTAAGTAATTATTATTTATTACACTGATTTAGTTATCGTGGTCTCTCCATAGTATTATGTTACCCAGTACAGTTAAACTCATGATACTTAGCATTATCTTGTTAAAACTTAAGATTAAGAAGGAGCTTACGGTGCACATGAAAGTAAATAACAGTATAATATCAGTATGAGGTTGTGTGATTTTTGAGTTCCACTGAATTCGTGAACTGTTGGATACCTACTCAATAGTCCAGAAGTTAATTTTTCGCTCTCGGGATCGAAGGTCCTGACTTCAATTACCGCATGTGGGGTCGTAGATGTGCTCTGCTGAGAAGTCCCATACTAGGACGAAACGGCCATCCAAGTTTTCGATGGTGGTCAAACTTAGATCGGTTCATGATTTCAATGAAACAGTATAATGCTTCGTGGTGGCTACTCTCCCCAATCTTCTGATTAATATTTTGCTGTCAACCCTCCCCTCCCTCCCTCCCACATTCTCAGTTAAATTCTATTCTCATTCTTTTTGTACAAAGAACCGATTGGCGTTTTATATTCTTCATTAGTTTGATATTATTCTATTAACTGTATGTAGATCGATGCATGACGCAGACATTCTAGTTTTAAAGTAGAGGTCTTGTAGTTTGAGACAGGTGTTTTTCTTTTTTGTTTATTTGTTCATATGATGTTATAATTCTCTCTTACGGTTATAACCCAGCTATTCCCATTGCTTGGTATTATCGACACCAATTCACTCGACAAGTCCCCAAATCAGAACACAGTTGAACAGGAAAGAGATTATATTCCAAATAACAAGGTTAGATGGAAGTAAGAAGTACAATAGGAAAAACGTTAGTATATTTATAGTTTTTACATGAGATTTCTAGAGTATTCTCTAAATATCGACTAGCGCTGATTGGATAAGAATTGACCAATCAGCGTGCGTTGAGCATGATTTAATCCAATCTATGTCAGGCTAACATATGATGTCTTCACTTTTTCATACTGTTAGTATTCTTAAAGAAGTATTCATATCAGTGCTCAAAACACTGATGTCGTTCAAAGGCGAAGTAACTTGTACAAGATACTTCCACAATATAATAGCGTCTTACATAGCGGAATAGATAGTTTATGCCTATTTTTTGGCTGCTTTTGTTCTTGTGTACTACGTATACAATTAACCCGTTTACTACATTTTCAAAGAGTTTCTATGTTAGTGATTTTTATTCTTTAAAAGCTATGCAAACTGATCAGAAAGCACTATATTAATTATGTTTTTCACGTGAATATCTTTTCGGTCAATGAAATACTTCGTTTTTTTAAATTTTATTCATTATCTAATCATCGATTAGTTACTTCTTATTCTTTGCACTTATCTTTCTATTAAATGTATAGTTCTATCTGAACGACTTATCAATGAAAGGTTATTATTTAACTATTACAACTATGAATAATATTTGCATTATTGACAAGGTTTTGCATGTCCCCTTTATCATCAAGATATATGTTTGAGTGGGTATCTATTGTCCTTTACAATCTACTTGTTAGTTGGAGCATTTATTCAAAACTATATCTTACTATCAATATTGAGATTAAATAGTTGTTAATAAATTCCTTGGATGGGTTGAATGTTAATAGTTTAAGTTGTTATTACACAAAACTTTCAAATCTAATTTCACATGGTTTCATATTGAGCGATTTCGTATTTATTATAATATTTTTAAAACTTCAACATGGCTGTGTGCAGTTTTGTTTACGTGTTTGCAGTCACAAGTTGTGTGGTGTTTGACTATTTTCTGTCCAGATTCATTGATCTAGAGGAGACGTCTGAATTACAAACTTTAATTTATATAAATAAATGTATTTTCTACATTTGGTTATAACATTTATTTTATTTAACTTACTGTCACTCTTTTACTGTAAAGGCTTCGTGATACTTGTGATAAAATAAAAACTCGTTACTTTTCACATTTGGATAAAGAAAATAAACGTGTGGAATTTTTACCTGTTGAATGGCGAACTGTTTTACAGTTAGACGGTAATACAGTTGAATCAATCACTCCTGTTCATCTTCGAGGACTTCGTACAGTTCTGAATTGTTCTGCTATGGATATTATGTATTATACTAGTCCTTTGTATCGAGCTGAAATTATTTGCAGTTTAAAAAGTGAACTCAATAGATTATATGATATGTTTCGTCGGTTGAATCCTGATTTCGAATCTCGAGGTGGAAAAGTTTCAATAATTGCTCATTCTCTTGGATGTGTCCTAGTTTACGATCTAATTACTGGCTGGAATCAAGTCCATGATAATGATCCATTAACTGAAATCTTATTAAATAAATCAACTGATAAAAATATATTTTTCCACTCAGCTTCCACAAAATTGTCAAATATTACGGATAAGGTGAGCTATACTTTACATCATTATATCATTTTCACTCCATTAATAATGTGCTGAATCTCATGTTGTGTAAATCATAGAACGTTGTTATCATAGGTTTGTAGTTGCAAATAAATTTGAGTTTCAACTTTTTAAAATATTGCCTTCGAAAACTGAAGTATTTGTTCGTAAGTATCATTGAAGGATAGCTCAAGCTTGTTAAGATAACCAGATGAGAAATGTTGAAGTTAAACTCAGGGTAGTAATACTCAAAGATGGCGAATCGACTGATCATATTGTGAATCATCATCTACTGAAATGGCTAGGACACTTATTACTTATCCGGAACCACTTCCTTCCTTGGCATGTTCGATGGTGATGGAGAAGGTTGGATGAAAGCTAGTGGTGGCCAATCCGAAACGTGACATCAGTTCATAGAGTCATTGATTACTGGTCTGATCCATGTTATTGTATTCAGACTAGCTGTCTGGTGTTCGTAAAATAACCTCGATTAATGGTTGTAGACAGGTAACAGCGCCGAATTAGTTGCAGTGGCACAGATGCATCCATCCCTTATTTATCTCTAAATCTTAGGCTCCAATACTCCTCCATATAAATCTTTGCTTCCTGTGTTTTCAAACCATACTCCTAATTCAGACCAAACGGACCAGTCTGCTCCGTATCACATTATTGTTGGATATAACTTATGAAAGTAGAACACATGCTCAGTTTGCTAGTATTTGGTTACAAGTATCTTCGAAGCATTGCTCCCCTATAATAAAACCACGGAGTGGGAAGTGTTGAGGCTTAGGAATGTGGTTTTGGTAGGAAAGATATATGTACTAATAAGTCCAGGCTCCATACGGAGTTGTTGCAGCTTAGACTAATGGATTTTCTCTTTAGGTCCTACATTAATTATGACCAACAGACTATACTGTATTTTTTTGCCGTTTTAGTAACAAGATACATTCAAGTTATTTATCTCTTGTAACTCCTAAACTTGCATGACTAAATAAATCAGAGCTTTTCAACCACTAAAAAACAAGTGAAACTCGATTATACTTAAATCATTTGTTTTGTTTTTTGTACTTATTCTCAGACTTTACCAAACAATAACTTGAATGTGCTATATCCTGACCACAGACTGTCGTCTAATGGAAACTTGGAACAAATTGCTCGTGTTAATATTCGGTTGGAAACTGCAAGGACATTGTAAGTGCTTGTCTTATATTTTTTATTTGATGCATTTAACGAATTAGCTTTCCTCAGTTTACTGAGAAATGCGAATTCCAGTGTATAATAAATACCGTACAAAAAACCCTTGATTTTTTTTTTACAAAAAATTATAGTGCAGCCACAGTTCTGGCATCGCAATTATTTAATGTGATGAATTTCATGTTTTTGAATATTGTACACAACTTATAGACCTCAAATAGATTTTTCATTCACTACAGAAATCAATTCTGATCTTATGAAATATTTAATTCCGGCAAATTTATGGAAATCTCCTTGCACATGAGCATGGTTTTTAAATTGAACTAGGAATCCACATGTATAAAAAGTTTTCAATTAAATTAATAGTGAATAATTTAACTAAAAATATGACTTTGGATTAGAGATTTCTTTTTTCTTTTAGTTTTTAGCTTCATGAAGGTTTAACCAACTGTTGAATTTTCTAATTCATTTTTCAATTGTTTACTGATTGTCAGTTGTAGATGATAGCATTTCTATAATAGTTATATTTAATCTAATTCATTTAAAGTTTGAAGAGTTATAGCCAACATATTACTTTGACGATTGCATAATTTTATTGTATCAACTCAAAGTGTTGTTGTCAAAAATGTTACTAGTGATGCTTATATTTTATAATGAATCCAAATTGCAATCCGTAAAAAGATAATTATCAAAACCCTACTCCTATGTGCTGTGTTGGTTAGCATTGAAGTTAATGAGAAACGGTTAGTGACGATATAGTTGATACACCGGACACTACATCCCTCGATAATTAGATCGGTAGGACTAGACTGAGTAATAAACAAATTACTTAATCATGTGATACAGTTATACAATTATCCAACCAGTAATCGATAGCCAGATATAGGTCAGAATAAGACTTTAATAACACAATACAAAGCAATCGACACTTCGAAAAATCAAAATCAGTTTTATCTATAACATAGTCTCCTATATTTAATTTAGCTGTTCATTAGTCGAACATGGCTTACTAGGATCAACACATCAATTATTGTTTCTATTTATTTCCATTTCATCTCATTAGTCTATTATTAAATTGATCTAAATTATGGTAACTTGGACCGATGGATAACTTGCCACAGTTCCTTACAGTTGTTATAACTGAATAAACAAGTTATTTGAAAACTTTATAATATAAAATGTTCTCGGGGTTTAGCCTCTGTTTATTTATCTAAACACATAAACATTGGTACAAAGAGACACCAAATAGGTATGCGCCACATAAATCATTCGATTCATGTGAGGGCTGGGACACTGTCCGGGTGCCCAAACTGAAGCAGGTGGTTTTCTTGGGGGATCACACCCCGAGCCTTTGGCCTAAAGGTCTAATCCATAGGGCAGTAGAGCAATGTCAGGAGATGCAGTCCCATGGTAGCCGGTGACCAACAATAGGTTCATAAGCCATTTGTTCTTTCAGAATCCTGTGGCCCATGTACACCATTGGTTTGAAATCAGGGTTTTCCAACTCCTCTAGATGGACCCTCCGTACCCACCAACCCGGTTAAAGCGCCGGAAATTCGCTTTTTGTCCTCTCGGTTTCGTAAACAACACCCCCGTCACGAGAAGGCAGTGAGTCGGACTCCCCTGGCAGTAGTTGTGCGCACGTGGCCATGTGAGAGCATTTGTAGAGGGTGAGCTGACTCTCCCCACTCTCGGCCGTATCAAGGCTTTTGGAGGCTCTTCTGTCTGGAAATACATAATCCTGTACACTTTTATTCTAAAATAGACCCATTAAACTTTTAGAACCTACCATTGGTCATCATCCCGACCGTTGTTGCTACCTTGATGTGGTGGTCCGGCCTGCCTATCGTGATGAAGCAACCGAGATATACTGGCTGGAACAACCGTTCCTCAAAGTCCTACCATGTCAGACAGGTCGGTTGAAGAGCGGTAAGACTAAAAGCAACAAACCCAAGGTCCGAAGGCGAAGTCGTACTGCACTCGACAAGTCCCCAAATCAGAACACGGTTGGTCAGGAAAGAGAATATATTCCAAATAACAAGGTTAGATGGAAGCAAGAAGCACAATAGGAAAAACGTTAGTATATTTGTGGTTTTTACATGAGAAGATTCTCGAGTATTCTCCAAATATCGATTAGTTCTGATTGGATAAGAATTAGCCAATCAGCGTGTACCAAAGTAATCGTGCATTGAGCATGCTTTAATCCAGTCTATGTCCCGCTAACACCTCTACTTTGAGCAGATTCGTAGGATCTGGTGCTAGGGTCCAACTGCAACCGAGTGACTGGCCTGTGCTTTCGATCATTCCATCGTCTAGGCAGTAAATAAGTATCACTCTTTTCTTGCACAGAAACTGACCTGTCTGTTCCCGGCGTTTTGATTTCAAAGGTATCTAGCAGAGCATCAAGAGGTAATCGATATTGAATCTTTTTGCTGGCTATCGGAGTTGCTTTTAGTTGGTTAGCATGACGTACCCAAACTTCTGAGCCAACTGACACCTCATAGACTACACTCCCCTTCTTTTTCAAGATCCGACAAGCTGTCCATGTAGGATGTTTTTCACGATAGTCCGTAGCAAGTACTTTTTGTCCCACCGTAAACAATCGTCTTTGTGCCCCATGATGTCGATTGAACTGATTCTCCATCGATAGGTTTCGTTGAGGCTCAAAAGCTGGCGTAGGGCGGATGACATCGAAATGTGTTCGTATTTTTCGTCTCAGTTTTCCTAGTAACCTGTCTTCTTTGGAAGTACTGGGGTGTCCAATGATGAACACGATACGTTACAGACACTGCTAATCGGTACATCCATTATTCCAAGTTTATCTAACATATCTAGACCAAGAAGATTAAGGTTTAGCCGTTCTGTTAGGTAACATGTTCCTGTACAGTTAGTTCCATTGAAAGAAAATTCACACTGTAATTCACCAACCAGTTTTAGCACACCACCTGATGCGTTTTTAGCCGTTTACTTAGATGGCTTCATTGGCGGTTTACCTAGTGAGTTATGCTTTTCTCTAGACACTAAGGTGATATCTGATGCCATGTCAATTTGAAGACGAGCTGATATGCCGTTTATTTGGATGGTAACATGCTTTCTCCGAATGTCATAGTTTGTTTGAAAGGCAGCTGCCAGAGAAAGAGATTTAGACTCGGCTGATTTCATATGTCGAGGACGTTTATGCTTCTTCTTAGGCTGAGACGTACGCTTAGGTGGACAATGACCCTCTTTATGTCCACGTTTGTTGCACACCTGATATTTATGCTTCTTAAATGGACAGAATCTTGCATAATGTCAATCACCACATAACCAGCATGCAGTCATTGGTTTGTTATGAGTTTTTATCGGCTTCTGAACTTTTAACCTAGTAATAGCATTGACACTACTGAAGGTTAAATTAGGATTTGTCTGTTCAATCAATTCGTTGTCGTGTCTGATGCTTTGTAGACGCTCACACTCATCTGTCAATGTTCTAAGTGTGACGTTTGGGTCTTGATCCAGTTGAGCTAAAAGTCTAGTTCTGATCTCAACATCTTGTGGTGACTGAAGAGCTTTGATGAATATTAAGAATTTGAATTGATCATCTGTCAACGAGCGTAACTTGGACCGTTCACATTCTCTGTTGACGATGTCTGCTAGAACACCATATTTGTCGGCTTCACGTTCCACCAAATTTAGACACCGATATCGAATACTAAACAATGAAGATGACTCATTGAATATCTCTGGCAACTGAATTACCGTCTCCTCGAAACTGAGCTCTCGATGTAACTTTGGCAATATATGGTCAGCAAAACATGCATGTTCATTGCTTCCCAACTTACGTACCAACAGTCGAGTCTTCCACGCGTCGTCTTGGTTACAGAATTCCGTTCTAAATGTATCTTCACAACGTTTGAACCACGTGAGAAAAGTATTTCCACTTTCGGGATCATAGACGAATTCTGGGATGCTGCTAGCAACTGCATCACAAGACGTACTTGAAATAGCATGTGAACTCGGGCAGTGGATGTTAAGCTGTTGAGTCAGAGTCTCCGACAACCGCATTTGTGCACCCAGTTGTGCTTGCTGTTGTTGTAGTATTCGGCTAAGCTGGTCACCTGATATGAATATCTTGAATCTGTTTTCCTTTTTCCTCGTCGCCAATGTTATATTTCTCTCTTACGGTTATAACCCAGCTATTCCTATTCCTTAGTATTCTTGGACACCAAATCACTCGAAAAGTCCCCAAATCAGAACACGGTTGGTCAGGAAAGAGATTATATTCCAAACAACAAGGTTAGATGGAAGCAAGAAGCAAGTAAGAAGCACAATAGGAAAAATGTTAGTAAATTTATAGTTTTTACATGAGAGGATTCTAGAGTATTCTCCAAATATCGACTAGTGCTGATTGTATAAGAACTAGCCAATCGGCGTGCACCAAAGTAATCGTGCATTGAGCATGCTTTAATCCAATCTATGTCCCGCTAACACCTTCAGACAACCAGCATGACAGCGATGCTGCCTTCCCACAAGGAGGGGTGGGGTTAGAAAAGGTCGACCCTAAAAATGCACACCTCGCCTTATCCCACGCTTATCCGTCTCCGACGGTAAGGTCCCAACAAGTACGGAGCTAACACAAAAAATCACCCATAAAAAGGTCGCGTGTGACCGACCTCAAGCAGTTGTCCCTTGGGCACTGCGGTCACGCTCCCAGGTCACTAAGACCACCTCTAATCCAATTTCCCTTTCAGGTACCTCCAGAAGAACCCTTCCATGGTGTGGGCAACCGGGAAGTGATAACCGCCCTCATACCTTTAACAGCACTCAAGACCACTGTATTCATAATCAACCTCCGTCTTCACTTCCTGTTATTGCTCCTACATCGACTTTCACCTCTAAACTTCTTTTTTCGGCTTCCCCCTCAAGTGTCACCATAGCCGACGATTCTAGTGCTCAAAACACTGTCCCAGGTCTACTGAAACCTCGCTCCAAACTACACATTGGAGCCTTCAACGTACGCACCCTATGTCAAATCGGTCAATAGGCTTCCTTAGCTAAAGCCCTAGAATCTCGTAACATTGATGTATGCTGCGTCTCTGAAACACGCATACAGGATCATAGTGTGGTTATTCACTTGACCTCACCTCGGCAAAACGGAGAGACAATGAGATACACCCTCCGTGTATCTTGTGACCCGACGGCCAGCTCTCGTGGGCTGGCAGGAGTAGGGATAGCACTAAGCATGAGGGCGGAACAACCACTGTTAGAGTGAATCCCCGTTAACAGTCGTCTGTGTGCTGTTCGGCTAGACGGCTCTGTAAGAACTCGGAAGGATAGGGACACACGTCGTTGCCTTTTTGTCGTTTCTGCCTACGCTACCACCGACCACAGCTCAGATGAAGTGAAAGATGAATTTTACAGAAAGCTATCTGAACTTCTTTAGAAAGCTAAACGTTCAGACATAGTACTCGTAGCAGGTGACTTTAATGCTCAGATAGGTAGTTTAAACCAAACAGGAAGGCATTTAGTTGGGTATTTTAGTATTCCGGCACAACGAACAGATAATGGCGATCGTCTGCTACAACTGTGCTCAGACAATCGTTTATTTTTAGCAAACACAAATTTTAAGCATAAGGAGCGACACCGTCTAACGTGGCGAACCCCTACACCAAACCAACGATAGACTCAAATAGACCATATTGCCACCAGTCATCGTTGGAGAGGGTCGGTAGAAGATTGTCGCTCATTCTGGAGTACCTGCTTGGACTCCGACCACGCCCTAATACGGGCACGCATCTGCTTGCGCCTCACTGGACGCAAAAAAACAGTAAAAAGACCCATTAGAACGGAATTGAGTAGCGAGAAAACTAATAGTAGGTTCCACGAACAACTGAGGTCACAATTAGGTAGTTCTGAAAACGAGGTTGACCCAGATGTTGCTTGGAAAGCTATACAAACAGCTGTGGAAACAGTAGTGACATCTATCAGTGATTTAAACCACAGGGTTACAAAGAACCAATGGATTTCCTCAAGGTCTATTGCACTGATGGATTCTCGTAAACTCAACTCATGCTCTGAACACGATGAACAGCGAAAACAAATCAGACCTAGGTTAAGCAAAATTCTAAGGAAGGACCGTGAGCAGTGGTGGGTAACGAAAGCAAAGGAAATGGAAAAGGCGACGGCTATAGGGAACACAAGACAGCTCTACAGACTAATAAAAGAAACTGGAATTAATAAATCAAGTGTAAGTCAGACTATTTCGGAAAAAGAAGACACCCTCATCTGCTCTCAGTCCAGACGTTTAGAACGATGTGCAGAACATTTTAGAGAACAGTTCAGCTGGCCTTCAGCTACTCTACAACTACTCTCCATTCCCAGACAGTGTTAATAGAACATTGAAGTAGGTCCCCCAACTCTTGCAGAAGTTCAAAAGGCTATAGCTAATCTGAAACGAGCAAGGGCAGCTGGTCCAGATGGATTGTCTCCAGAGGTCTTTAAGGATGATGGCCAATTTTAGCGATTAGGTTGACTAAGATTTTATCAGACGCCTAACTAAGACTTGTGAACTGCAAACATGAGAGAATCAAGCTGGTTTCAGACCTGGTCGTGGCCGCATCGACCACATACTCACCATTCGTCCGGTCCTAGAACATAGGCATACTTATCGGCGCCCGACAATGGTGGTCTTTCTTGACTTAAAAGCAGCAATTGACTCGGTAGACCGCGAGATTCTGTGGCAGTGTCTGTCATTGAAAGGCGTATCTCAGAAGTACATAAACCTTGTGAAGGCTCTTTACTTGAACACTACCAGCCGAGTCAGAGCTTATGGCGAACTTTCATCTGCTTTTGCAACCTCAAGTGGTGTCCGTCAAGGCTGTCCACTTTCTCCATTTTTGTTTAACTTCATCATAGACTTATTGATGGAAATAACATTCTCGTCGATTGGATTCTCGGGTATTGGATCTCCTTCCAGGAGGTCCACTTATCGACTTAGAATACGCAGATGATATAGTCCTGTTTATTGAAGTCGCAGATAAAATGCAGAGTCTTTTGGTAGCACTAAGCAACAATGCCAGAATGTTTGGAATGCTCTTCTCTCCCTCTAAATGCAAGTTGTTGCTTCAGGACTGGTCTGCGTCAACACCTGAACTAAGGATAGGGAGTGAAGCAGTCGAACGCGTTGACAACTTCACTTATTTTGGAAGTCTGATCAGCCCTAACGGGTTGGTGTCTGACGAAATTTCAGCACGGATTCGAAAAGCTCGCTTGGCTTTTTCCAACTTACGTCACCTATGGCGAAGGGGAGATATCCGCCTATCAATAAAAGGACGAGTATACTGCGCGGCAGTCCGTTCTGTTTTAATTTACGGCAGCGAAACATGGCTATTAAGAGTAGAAGACACTCGTAAGCTACTAGTATTTGACCACAGATGCCTCAGAAATATTGCTGGCGTCTGCTGGGATCACCGGGTAAGTAATGGTGAGGTTCGACGCAGGGTATTAGGAAAGGATGGTAAATCAGTTGATGAGGTTGTGAATCTTCATCGACTGAGATGGTTGGGCCACGTGTTACGTATGCGCGAACACCGATTACCACGACGTGCTATGCTAACCGGTGTTCGGGATGGTTGGAAGAAAGTTAGGGGCGGCCAAACCAAAACGTGGCATCAGTGCTTGAAGTCACTAACTTCTAGTCTGAACCATGTTGGTAGATGCAGACTACTTGATTGGGGTCCGCGTGACTATCGTAACCAATGGTTGGAGACTCTTGATGACATGGCTCAGAATCAATCACAATGGCGTCGGTGTGTACACTCTCTGTCTTCCCTTAAACTAAGAGATTAAAATAGCTTCATATCTTTCTTTCTACGAACTAATTCTTTCTTCCTGTACTATATCCTTGTTGCAATCTTTCTTTTATATATTACCATCTCTGAATTAACTACTTTTATGAATCTGGTGTCCATCTTGTTGTGTTAATGAGGTATGGCAACTTGGACCGATGCATATATGTGCCTGGCCCTACGTTGTAGCTGACTGACTGACTGATTGGTCATCGTCTGTTCAATCGAATTTCCTTTTTTTGTATAATATAATATTTCCAGTATAGAGTTGCGTAGACTGTCGCATGTCATGAACCGATTTAAGTTAGAACACCAGCGGAAAACTAGAAGCACTGGATGACCGTCTCGTCTTAGTATAGGACTCTTAAGCAGTGTGTATCCACTGTCGTCTATAATTGTTAATTTTGGTGTAAGTTTTGGACATTGACAATCATTCTGACATGACATGTGTATGTCATTAAAATGCTTTTCATCTGTTGTGTGCTAAAATGTCGTCAACCTTTTTTTTTAAAATGTATTATGCAGGGTGAATAATTTAGAACAGGAATTAAGCAGCTTGCTATTTACTCGTGACAATCACATGAATTGTGATTCTCAGAAGTCAAATGTTAGCAATAATCATCAGGACGACCAGTCAGTATATAGTAAACCGTCAGTATGTCACCCAAACTCTTCATTGCATCAACAAAATCCTTTATTGTTTGCGGATAATGTAAGTTTCACCATGTTCGCTTTACTATCTACAATGTTTACGATATTATACATATATGACGTTGGTTGTGTCTAAACAGCTACACTCTAATCTCGCTAATAACTACACTACCTTTCGAGGATCCTTAAATTGGATTCCTCCTCTGACTTTCAATTGTTATTCATTGTCTTTCTGTTGATAATGGAATGTGTCTTTTGAGTATGTGCAGTTTCATTTTCTCTGAAATGATGTTTTACCATAATCATGTTTTTAGAATATTATTCAATTTAATGTCCTATCTTTTCCATTGTTTGATCACTCAGTATTATCGATTAGAAGATCTGTTAAATTAACAAAGTTAATCTGTATTGTAATAAGTTCACCTGTTTATGGTTCCGGTGTTAGTAACTCGATGAGTTATCATGACACTAAGTTTCTTCTATTCGTGGTAGTTATAAAACAACATTATTAGATTATATAATGTTTGAGCTACAAAGTAATTTGAAGCTGATAGATTGCTAACAACAGTAAGCTGTATTAATATTTAATCTCTTATTTCCTTATTTCTGATTATCTCTTTACATTACCTAGTTTTTCATGTAGACTAAAAGGTCGAAATCTTTTTAATTCGACAGTCCTATTCGTGTTTTATTTTTTTACTAATTTATTGCATATTGAAATAAACCAACAGAAACTTGTATGTACTTATTAGGTCTAGACACTGACAACTAGAACTCTCATCCAACATTAAAAGGGCATTAACCTAGATTTCAAAGAATTTGTAGAGTGGCACATGAAAGGAGTTTTATTCATGATAATTTATTTCAGTATGTTATTATTGTGTTATGAATACCCTGTGATTAATTAAATTTATGACGTTTCATCATCATAAAGGTGCATTCCAAGTACTTTCGAACCTCTCACCCAAACGAATTCACCACTGCATATGGGCTTTAACCTTTGAGTATGCGATACCTTTTAGATCACTAAGATGGAATTGAATGATTTGTATTTTTGTACTCAATCAATTTGTAATATAACAAAAACTTTATCCCAAGTCTTGATTCTGTATAAGCTCCCAAATAAACAATGATGGTAAGTCTTAAACTAAGACAAAACAGTCGTTTCATACCACATGCGATTATCATTGTTATTTCTCTTTACATGTTCATTTTCCAACCGTATAGTTTTTCAGCATATATTACTTAATCCTTATGTACACTGTTATATAGCTAGAAAACCTTTTCTGCTTGGGCTCACCTTTGGGCGTGTACTTGGTTTTGCGTGGTATCCGCCCTGGTCCTTTTCAAACTCAAGACTCAATACTTCCTCGAAAAATTTGTCCCCGGATTTTTAACATTTACCACCCAGCAGATCCTGTAGTAAGTAATATTTGTTTCCAATATTATGATTTGCGTTTTACTTGGAAGTATTCAAGAAAAACTATATAATTAAAATGTATAGGTTTATTATCTTGTGTTAGAATGAAAGCCAAGTATATATTTATATGTACGAGTTATTTTGACAATGTACTCCTAGAAGTAACAATATTACAACGAATACACCCAAAAAAGAGAATTTAATTTACATCATTTAGTTATAAAAATTAAATTTACCAGTATAATGAAGATAAAAATGTTTATTAGAAAAGTATTTATATTCCATTCTTAGTTTGTCAATCCATTAAGATTGTTATAATCACCTTAGATAAACGAGATGATGATCACTTGGTTCATTTTGGTCTTTTTTTTAAAGCCAAAATTGTTGTCAGACATTAATGGCTTGTCAATCATATGGCAGTTTTTGTTAACGTTTTAATAATAGATACATTGTCTGCTTTCTTAAACACATTTGGCGATAAGATATTCGAGTCATGTGCTCTGTGAAAGAGACAATTTAATTGATTTTTCTAAAAACAAATGATAATAGTACGTAGTACATTGATTTTTGTTAAAGTCATTTTTTATAATTTCTCAAGAACGTTTTCCGAAGCTGGGGAAATTGTAAAAATACTTCGGGCAGTCAGCGTCCTCTCGAAAACGGTGGATTAGGTCAACATTATCTGCCTGAATGATAACCGATTTTCTTACTTATTTGGACATAATTCTGGGAGCTTGTAGAGTCTCAGGGTCGCATACTATGATTGCCCCTGCATTTTATAAACAAACCAATCTCGGAAGTAAAGCTCAATCCATATCTCTCACTTGTTTTTCATTCTTCGAATTAGAGAGCAGAAGATTTGTGGGGACTTGGAAGTCAGTGTCTAAGCGTTCAAGTACAAAAGCTTATCAGTACTCTCCATTGTTTATACTGTCTGAACAAACCGTTCATTTGTCATATGAAGAATCTATATTACACTTCTATCTGTTTTTTGTTTTGTTTTGAATAAACTATGTAAATATTGTTATATCTATGCAACTATAGTGTGGTTTATCAGAAGAAGGATTGCGGATATCAGCAACAGTATTTAATGGCTTACACTACGAAACATTATCAGTTAGATAACCAGTAAGTACTGGACAGTTGTTTTATTCTAGTACAGTGCTCTTCAGCAGTTCATACTTATGACCCCACCAGGTATCAATCCAAGGACCTTAAGGTTTCGCGGCAGACACTTAACCTTTAGACTACTAAGTCAATAACAGTATTTGCATTTATTTGGTTTACCTACTAAACTAAATATGTTCACTCCATACACGTTTATAAGTATCATTTTTGAAGATGAATTCAGTCAGAATAAAATTGAAGTTATTTTGCAAAAGTGATCCAAACTTCAATCATTTCCAATTTATATGTATTTGTATCTAATTATTTAACAATATATTTCCTCGGTTAAGAGACATGTTAAACGGTATAATTAAACTAAAAAGAGCAGATCTGTATCGTCAGTGATTTCTCTGTCTAATAGTTTTATAAAATAGTTTTACGACTTCATAATCTATCTTTCTATTTCTCTATTTCATTTCGCACTTATTTTAGGCTTATCGTTTAGAACCATTAATTTTAAAATATTATTCCACTATCCAACCAGCTTTGATTCATCGAGTTGATGCTGTTTCAAAACCATGCTATGACACACTTCCTTTGCTTGAATATTCTGGTAAAGAATTCAAACATCCAAAACCACAAAATTGTGTAAGTCAGTAATGATTATTACCAAATATTCACTGATTAATTGATTGATTGATTGATTGCATAACAATTATACGTCTCTGGAAATTGCTATGTAAGTCCAATATTCGTTGTTTTTTATTGTTATAACGGAAATTGTTTTGTTCTGGACATTTAATGGCACAGCCACTTAAATTCGACTGTTCGATAGAGAGACAGATATTACAACTGAAAGAGTTCATTGACATAAAGTACAAAGTAATCATTTAGAGGAATTAGTATAGAATGAATTCTACAATATAATGTTTTATGTTTAATGTAACCGGATATGCTTGTCGTAACTTCTTGGCAAACCGCAGGTTACTTTGACTACAGATATCAGTCACATTTAGTATTCTATAACATCCACAATAAATAGTCTAACCTCCAAAATTTGCTTAACTTTACAAACATACTATTTTGCTTACGTAATAACTTTGATTTAAATAAATTTTGTTTAAAAAGTATTGCAACTTATTTACATTACTGATTTTTTTTGTCTTAGCATCAACAGGTAGCGAAAAACCCTTGCTCAGATACAAATCAATTTATAACCACACAAGATGCAGATTCCTCTAGACGTTCATCAATTGCTAGTGAGTTAATAAGGAAAAATAATAACTGGACTATGAATAATTTTGGATTTTATATTTTATTCATTAGTAAACTTGAAATTCTAGTTTAGTTTCTGTATATGAGTTTTATCTTCGGCTGACATCGATTAAACATGTTTGTTAGCTTTCTATTATACCTAGGCATCAAATGCTAACCATACTGACTTTATGACCTACCTATAACGAGTAGAAAGGCGTTACTATCACTGAAATGCATCCTAATTATACAGAACACGAAAGGAAACTACTAAATGATTTCTACTGACAGATTTTCAAACCACAAAATCGCATAAATTCCAGAATCTAATCTAGAAAGTTTTGATGTGCCCATAAATGCTAACATAACACCCATCAATCATTTCTAGGACCTCATTTGACACAACTGACTACATAGGATCTTTTACGTCTAGTCCAACACCTCAACAACACTAGAAGTCGATTGACTAAATGGCATACATAATTCTGCCTTTCGTTAGAAAAATGTTTATCTTGTTAGCCCACGCATCTACCCTTTATTATCCAACCAAACGGATACAAAATCTTGTCTGGACTTGGTTTGGTATCAGCTGAAATATACTCTATAACTCCTTTTTTCTAGTTACTCATAATTTCTCTTTGTGCCTGGATATCGTATCTGTATGCTGGAGGTCTTATATTATACCAAGATGTTTCTCTAAGTCGCTCGGTTTCAATATAAAGAGTTGTTTATAAGTCGATACAAATTTTTAGCAATCGTCCATGTCATAAATTTATTTAAGTGTTTTTTAGCCACCCTTAAAAACAACCAGTGTGTTAAATTCAAATAGACTTATCTTCAGCAACAACAGAGGAAACAAAATAATGTTAATTATTTTGACAAACAGTAAGCTGTTTGCGTTCAGTAGATTCACAACTTCTATCATTTACATTATTCCGTCCTAATTTTCGCCTAATACGAGAACTTTAAGGTGTCTTATGGTAACAATATACACTACTAGCTTAATCTCTGTGTATTCCGAGTTCGTAAATATAATGTACATATCTTTTACGTATTTCATTCCAAAGATTTACATTCTATATGATTCTAGAAATAAACCTTAAACAAGTGGATTGTGGCTAGTAGTCGAATCCTGGATGCACGTTTCGTCTTATTTGGGACTCGTCAGCTGGGAATACCTGCATCTCACTGTTGATGTTCACATCGAAACTCGAACAACAATACATTTCTCTTAAGGCGTCAATGTGTCATCAACTTAGCTACTCAGTCCAGATAACCACTCGCTTGTATAACTGGTATAATATTTATATCATTTTTATAGAAGATTGAGTTATCCCACTGTTGATATTCTTGATCAGTCCTGGTTATAATATGTCCATCTTGTTTGAATTGCCTCGATATTGCCGTTTTCCACACATGTTTTTATAGAACAGATGAACTGTGGCTAGTAATGGAATTCAGGTCGCACATTCGATCCTATATGCAACTTATATACTTGTGAAAATGGCTATATTGAGGTAATCCACTAGGAATGAACATGTGCTAACCAAAACCGATTAAAATCGAACCAAAAATATCAACAATGGAATAACTCAAACCTTTTTAATAGTAAGTTATTGACTTTATTCCTTCTTATTTTTTTTTTTTTTGTTTTAAATATGAATATATAAAGTCTTAAAATTATCAATTTTCACTCTTAATTTACCTTTCTTTACGTATATTAAAATAGGTCGATTATTTGGTTTTTTCTCACGAGCACCATATTTACCTGGTGGAAGTCAAGAAACAGGAGGAATCGATCTTACTCTTTCCGAAAAATTATCTAACCATGACAATGATGAGAAAATTAATTCTATAGAGAAATGTTCTGAAGATCAAAAAACAACAAATTCACTTAATTCATCATTATCATCTAATGATTTATTTGAAAATGATTTATGTTGTTATGAACCATTACAACTTGAATGTCGATTAGATTTTGAATTACAAATATCACGTTATGAAAATATGTATCTTTCTCTATTAACTTCACATACTAGCTATTGGACTAATCCAGATATTTGTATGTTTATTATGACATATTTATTTCCATTAAAACCCGGTTCAACAGATTAAAATATCATAATTCCATTTGTGTTTATCTTCAATATATATTAGTTTATTCTGTGTGTTTTTTTTCTTTTCTTTTTCTTTTTCTTTTTTTTTTCTAAAAAAATTTTTTTTTATTGATAAATATTTCTACCATAAGATGTTGTTATGCTTTATTTTATTGAAATGTTCAATTTTGTCATACTACTATCTTCTTGTTAAATAGATTAATAGATTATCAATCACTTAACTTATATCATTTAAAACATTTTTTATTTTATATTTCCATTATAATCAATCCATTTATTTATTACATAAAATTTACCAGAAACTATGTAGGGAAAAAACAACTGAATTCTTTTCCATACAGCATTACACATTCTATATATTTGTGTATTCTATTTATGGATGGATGATTAATTTTAGATCATTAATTCTATTCTTAAGTCTTTCAACAACAATTATGTACTTTAAATGTTTGTTATTATTATTATTATCAATGTTATTGTATTCACCATCTTTATTATCAAGACAAGAAAGTATCATATATTGTAAATTAATTTTTCCTAACATACTATATGTATTCATTCATTTATCAGACGTTTATTCTCTCTTTCTCTCTCTCTCTCTCTTTTTTCATTATCACTTTTTTTTCCCATCAATATTTCAATAATTTTACTTGATATAATTGAAACTTTTCAATATTTTTATCATTATTCCAAATAATACTGATTTATTATTGTATATAAATGTAGAATACAGTGGAAATTTTAGGTTGAGATCATGTCTTTTGTTGTTAAACAATCGTTGTGGTTTAATTTTAATGTATATAATTTCGTTATAAGAGTACAACTAGATATTTGAATGAGGAAATCAAAAACAAATAGAAAGCTTTTAGTGACTAGCCCGAATGGGAATTATACACGCACCTATTCATTGATATGGAAATTTAAGTCAAACTTTTAATCGATAGCGTATATCTATCAACATCGAATAATTCAAGTAAATCTTAACCAATGGTATGCACACATTAACAGCTCTCATCATTTGATCATGAACTGATATGTCTGACCGACTCAACCTATCACATTTCCTCTTTGGAAAATATGTCTGGCTTTATAGATCCGACTACATGAATAAAAGTGGGGGCACATCAAACCTAAACTTTTTCAATGTTCATTAAGTGTATCACAACTAGCACGTTCGGCTATTTTTCCGTTCATTTTAGTATGCGAGCGATAGATATTAGCATGTAATTTTCATTTTGTGTTTCTCATCTGGGATTTTGACCTGGACTATACTGACATATTGATATAAGGATTTTTGCAGATAACTTCAACCAAATTTCCTCAACTGTTACCAACATTAATCACACATTACTAAAGCTGGAATTTTGAAATTACAATTTTTCTCTGAATTATCGTAACGAGTTATATAATTAATTCAAGACAATATACTTTCATGTCATTGACAGAACTTATTTGAACATTTCAAGGTCTTTAAGTCAACATGCAATTTTTGATAGTTATTTTAATGAAGAATGAAATTTATCTTCTAAAATAACTTAAAATATACCGCTATGCAGCTGCCACTTTTAATCACTTGATTCGTCGATACAAAGGTTACAATTATTTTAGAATTTTCTTACAACATTGAGGTGATTTTTTCATAATTAAGATAGTTCTGGTATCCTTACACCAAGTATGTATAACAGTTTATACAAACTCATTCTGTGTTTTGTCTCCAAGTTACTGTTGTTAAAAGTTCATTTCAGTGTTCCGTTATCCAATACACAGTAGTTTGTAAAATCTAATTAGCGCTTTTCTCTGATTTCTTCCTCCGCTGAAATCTGGTTTGTTCTCTCCCACAGTAGGATGTTGCTGATAGTATCTGGCCAACGGGTCTGAAGTATTTTGCGCAAACGACTGTTGATAAACACTTGTATTTTCTGAATGATAGCTTTCGTAGTTCTCCAAGTTTCTGCACCATACAGTAGAACTGTCTTGACATTTGTTCTGAAAATTCTGACCTTGGTGTTGGTTGACAGTTGCTTTTAGTTTCAGACGTCCTTCACTTGTAGATATGCTGCTCTGGCTTTGCCGATCTGCGATTTTACATCTGCATCAGATCCACCGTGTTCATCAGTGATGCTGACCAGATATGTAAAGATTTTTACATCCTCCTAAACTTCTCCGTCAAGTGTTATTTGATTGGTGCATGTTGGAATGTATGCTTTTTCCTTTGTGTATGTTGAGACTTACTGCTGCTACAATAGTCTGTCTTCTGCATTTGTTGTTGCGTGTGCGAAGTTTAGATCATCCAGCTTCATCCTAGATGTTCACTGTATCCTACACTAGGATGCAGCCTAATGGTATAGTAAATATATCTGTACATCATTTCTTATAAAGATTTCGTAAAATATATTTTCCATAGTACTTAAGAACCTATCTTGAAAAGCATACATCACTCTCCCCTTTCGGAAGTAAAATTTAGTTATATTCTCAGCTTGCTTCTTAATCACATGCATACATCGTGAGAGAAAAAAAATCGTTTTATAATAATTAGAATCATTATCCCTATTATTACTAGTATTATTATTATTATTCATCGAAAATAATTTTAAACGATGATAGTTGTATGATCTTAATCACGATAAAACTTTAACGAATCTCTCTTTCCATCTTTAAATGTTTGTAATTTGCATTCCAATTCGTGGTGTCTCTTTATTGCAAGGAAGTAAAATGTTCTTTCGTTTATTTTTCCCTTAAAACTTACGATCGTATTAAATGTAATTACATTTGAGCTAGAAATTCTCTCTATTTTCTAAATTTTCGCTTTTTTCTGAAAAACGACTTTCCCCTCAATGTTCATCGTTTTTTTTTAGTTGTTCATGCAGATGGTGTATACACAAGGGTTCATTGCCCAGTTTTGTATAATTTCTGAAATATAAAAAAACACGGTGACCAAAAAGACCTAAATGTTCTTATCTATCACAATTGATTGATCACTGGGTGGTGATCAATGTCATGTGTGTCGAGTCCTTATTTAGTGCAGATCGAATACTATCGACCATGTTGCAATGTGGCCACCAGTCCGTTGACTCGACACTGCGTGCACTCTGTTGAGATTAAATGGTGGTTGGAGGTAGTCGACAGGAAACCCTGGACCCGGGTTTCGTGCTACTTGGCACTCTTCAGCAAAGTTTACCTGTAATCTTGAGGGAACTGGTGCTCCCTGACGGATTCGATCTCGTGTCACCCAGCTTCACCGGTACCAAGTAGCACGAAACCCGGGACCAGGGTTTCCTTTCGACTACCTCCAACCACCATCTGTTCTTATCTATGTTTATTTTCCACAAAGTCAATGTGGAATATATTTGAAAGAAAATGGAGAAATAATATTATCGATTTATAATTGGATTACCTTTAGTAGTGCCATGTTATTATGTTTTCTACTAAACTGACGTACTGATGTTCATTTACCGTATGAACTATTACATAGTTTAAATGCAAGTTCTTATGCTTCATGTTACATAGAACACATTAATTTCTTAACTTACGAGATATATTTTCTATCAAATAAACCAAAATTTTACTATTTCAGTTGTTATTTACAACGAGTTCAACTAATTTAAAAGTGAATTTCAGGCTAACTTAATTATGTCCACAAATGCCATGGTATGGCCGAGGGTGAAGAGAGTCAGCTCCTCTTGAAATACTCTGGAAAGTAAAAAATGTGTTGTATTGAGATTTAGGTCAAATAATATTCTTAACGTGTCAGTGTATATGTACATTGAACTGATCAGTCGTACCAACTTATTATTCTCATACAAAGATATAACAGGGTGACTACAGTATATTATATGAAAATTCGCTAAATTCTATCTTTGGAAATGATCTTTAGATAGTTTCAAAAGGAATATCTCCCTTAAATAAAATAAATCCTTTACTGTGTGAAATACAAGACCAAAACATTTCTTTCATTAATTTCACGCTATTAAGCAATACATTACCATCTACTAATTATACTAACGAATTGTATACGTACCTAAAAAATGTATACACTTTTACGTAAACAATATACAGGTAGTTTTTAGTTTCTATTGTTCGATGGGAATCTTGAGCGGAATGCTTTCATTTTGCTGTATGCAAGATGAAGTCACCAGTGACTCTGTATTTGGCGTCAAATGTCTCGGCAAACTCAGGATGGGCTCGAACCACCAACTTCTCCGTTTAGGGAGAAAGGAAATGACATAGTTGATATGAAGTGGTAAATTTACACTAATAAAAAAGTGATCAGTAGAATTAACAATGTGAAAATAAACACCATATAATATAAAGAAAAAACCCATTGCATCATTGGGTAGAATACAGTCCAATGAATAAATTTTTTTTCCTAGTGATATCATTTTCTGAAACTGTACGATAGTATTTACAGTTATCCTGGTCTCGTCACTTATTTAGACTTGTCAACCTTTTTTCATATCTCTTCCATATGTTATTTTTTATCTTATCTCATTATTGCACTTCAACCATTACGTGACTTATTTCAGACAATAGAAAATATTTTGATGAATTTTTAGTAACCTTATGAATAATTACTATAATTTGCTATTTAACTCATATAGTATTATATGCGAAATAACTATTAATAAACTTGTACAACTCTAGAAAATAACATTGTCAAAAAGAAAGATTTTTTTCCTTGAACTGTCTTTATTTTACTAAATAATAGCCTTCAAATGCACTGGCACTGCCCCTAAATGCCTTGGTACGGCCGAGAGTGGGGAAAGTCAGCTTTCCTTCTAGAAATACTCTCACCACTGCCAGAGAATTCCTACTCATTGCCTTCTCGTGGCGAATGTCCGACTCTTTAATGCGAAGAATTCATTTAGGGGAATCGGAAAACCCTGATTCCAAACCAATAGTGTACATAGGCCCCGGGATCCGAAAGGGAAAAAATGTTGTATGAACCTATAGTTGGTCACTGGCTACCATGGGACTACATCTCCTGACGTTGCTTCACTGCCTTGTGGATTAGACCTTTAGGTCAAATGCTCCGGGTGTGGCTCCCTAATTAAACTACTTACTTCGGTTTGGCCACACAGGCAGTATCCCAGCCCCCACATAAATGGCATGATTTATGTGACGCGTATATATTTGGCTCCTCCTTGTACCAATGTTTATGTATTTTAATTAATTAATTAATCAAATAATAACTGAAATACTTGCCTAAATTCCTTTAAATTTATTCAAATAATAGAAAACAATCGGTATCTCATTAAATAAGTATAATTATTATTCTAAAAAAAACAAAAAAAGAAATCTCATAGATAGCAATTTGTATCATCAAACTACGCAATAAATCTTCGAAATTTTTTCATTATCTATACAGAGGACTGGATTTAGAGAGGTTTATATGAAAAATGTCTTAGTACAATTTCACTCCAAATGTATGACATTCATACTAACTCTACGTATCTTCTTAAATTAAATCTGTTACTTAATCAGTATTATGATGTTAATCATTGATACAAACCAACAAAATCTAAAAAAACATACAGTTGGTAAGAGTTCGGTCAAATGCTTAGGCTATATAGGATTAGTTCGTTACAGATTAATTGTCATATGAGTTCTTTGATCGATTTATTCAATATTGCTTAGAACCACATGAAACTAATAATTTGACTCGCAAATGTGATTTACTTATGAATGAAATATTTTATTGTATAAAACGACTCTATTTGTTGACAGTTCATTCCTTATTCTGCTTTACTCCGTTTTCACTGGAGCGTTGGATCAATAATCCGGAGTTGTTTTGATAAACTTCATCATGCAATGTATATATTTGAATCATGGAAATCATGCACTTAAAGGTAGTAGATACTAGGATACTTACTTACTTGCTTACGCCTGTTACTTCCAATGGAGCATAGGCCGCTGATCAGCATTCTCTAACCCATTCTGTCATGGGCCTTCCTTTCCAGTTCTACTCAATTTTTGTTCATTTTTCTCATGTCTGTCTCCATTTCTATACGAAATGTCTTCTTTGGTCTTCCACTTTTCCCTTGGCCTTGAGGATTCCATGTGAGGGCTTTCTTTGTGACACAGTTGGGTGCTTTCCTCAATGTGTGTTCTACATACTTCCAGAGCCTCTTTCTAATTTCTTCCTCCGCTGGGATCGATACTAGGATAAGGGATACCCTTATACTATTTGTCTTACAATTAAATAGAACACTACTATTAAATACATTAATATTGTTGGTTGAATATCATACTTTTATATGGTAAACTAATCAATATAACAAGTAAGAACGAATGCAAAATTATTTGAGAAATCTATTACATTGCACAATAATAAATAAAAACTTCCGTCTAAATTTGAACGAATAGTTTCACAGTATTTGGGACATTAAAGAGGAAGAATGTATTTGTAAAATCTCAACGAAAGAATTTGAAGTAAATCCAGCATTTTGAATGGCAATCCGATCTAAGCTTTTTTAAAGGAAATATATATTTGTTTGAGGAGGATCTTTCTAGGGTAGCTGAAAAACTCTTATTCCAAACCGATGTACACATGGGCCACAGGATCTTGTAAGATATATATTGGAAATATATATTTCCTTGAAAAAGCTTGAACTAGATTGCCAGGCAAAACGTTGGATTTATTTCAAATTACTAGTATAGGGGTTGTGGAGATTATTAAGCTTTTGATTGACATCGTGAACCGATTGATGTTAGACCACCATTGAAAACCTAGAAGCACTGGACGGCCGTTTTGTCCTATTGTGGGACTCCTCAGCAGTGCGCATCTACGATCCCGCTCGTGGGATTCGAACCCAGTCTCGCGCACGAACAATTAACTTACTGGATTACTGAGCCGGCATCCAATGGTGATAGTGTCTAACATCAACCAATCCACGAAATTGCGCGACCATCTTCTATTTTACTGAAGTATATACCTGTCTCTACCCGATACCGATTAGCTCCATTGGTCACGGCTTCTCACTAGAACTCCGAGAATTCCTTCACGAAGCTAGTCACTAGTGAGTACATGTTAACTACTAGTATAGGGGTTGTGGAGATTATTAAGTTTTTGATTCTACAAATACAATCGATTACATTGTTCACTTTGATATATAAATTCTATAGATTATATAACTCAACTATGAATATTTGATTATAAAATTCTATTTTGAAAAGAATTAAAATATTTAAATTTCTTATTTTGTTATGTCATTCAAATCAGTCATTTAGGATTAATAACATTGCTTTACTAGTGATATGCATATATAAACATAAATTTATGTGGATTAAGCACAAGTGTTTGCACATAAAACTTATATATATATATATATATACCTCATTTGCATTATAGATATTCACCATACATGATTATTAATAACCAATCACAAAAATTTATCCTGAACATCTTTCATTGATATGATTTAATAAATTGACGAAAATATTATCATTATCATAATCATCATCATCATCATTCATCACAGAACTGATTGATGACATTATCACCATGGAATCACTAAGTTACTAGGATACATACATTATCATAAGGGAAAAAAAGATTTGTTTTGGATAATAATACTATTTCAAATCTTACTTGTAATTATATTAATTCTGAGAGTTTGTGAATAATTGATATCTATCTATCTTCATTTTATCATTATTGATAAACATGGAATTCATGAATAACTCATGTTTACTTTTGCTGATCCTGTTCACTTTTCTATTCTATACTAAAAGTAAGTATGTTTTTTTTAAAAAAAAATTCGATTTTATATAATGTTTGATTTTGCGATTCGATCATTTCGACACATATAGTTCAAATGTATATTTAGATAGTTTTCATCTTTAATTGTGATTGAGACAATATAGGATCATTATGGCAAAACATTTGGTAAACAATGTTGTTATTTTAGATGTCATGTGCTTTCTCATGTGATGATTGTTGAAGATTGTTATCAGTAACCATGATTTCTTTCATGATATCTCTTGTTTTGACCTTTCATCTCTGTTAAACTTTCTTGAAAGTTTGGAAACTATCAGTCCTTTTGAACAAGGAATGTTTGAATACTTAGACTCTAGTTCTTTTTCTGCAAACACTCATGTTGATAGATTTGTCATCTTATTAGCTTAACAGATAGCATGAGGTTAATCACCTTTATCTAATTTCATATTTGTATAAACACGATACTACTACTAATTTCTTTGATAATTCCCAATATATCTTACATTTCAATATCAGAAATTTATTATTATTTTCTATTGACTAGTTATTCAGTTCATGCAAATTTAAGATATATTCACTAAAGTTTATCATAACCAAGTCTATTGTTATGATCAAGGAGGAAAAATATACATAACTTTACTGGCAGCAATCAGTATCTAGATGCTACATTTTAAAAAAAAACACATCATTATTGGAGTTATGCCGAAATTTAACTGAATAAAGAAAAGTTTGTCAAGAGTTAGAGTTCTATGAATTTCAATATAAAATTGAAATAATTTCACCTACGTGTAATTAAACAGGTTTTTATTACTGTGATACAAATTTGAAACTGGATACAAACAGTTTTAATGTCATCTTAGTTATCACTCATCAATAAGAGGCATCAGAAACATTGAATAAACTTGTATTCAAAACCATATCAGAAAGTTTCATCATAAAACACACTAGCATAGATCGGTTTCCAAATCTCCTTTCAAGAGTTACAAAAGTTAATAAAAGAAATAATTAAATATTCTGTACGTCTATCTGTTGATTAACCCATAGAGTGATATTCATTGAATTGTTGGTTCATATTTCTATCATATACCATGAAATGTTGAAGAGACTTTGTATTCTAGCCAGAATTTGAAAAAGAAAATAATTCCCATAATTTACTATGTACATTTTTTTACACTATTAACATCAGTAGATCCTTTCATTTCATCCATTTGTGGATATAAAATTCAAATAGTATAATCCTCAATAACCCTCTTTATTAATGAAACCTAAGTTTCGTTATGAGATGGTGCAGAAGATTTGTGGCTCAAGTGATTGATTTTGATAAAGCTCAGAGAACAAAACTTCAACAAAACTAAGTTCCGTTACTTTTGTGGGAGTTCTTTATTGAGATCCTTTTCAGCTCTTTACAAACTTCGTATGCATATTAGTATTTGACTCGTAGTAAATAGCTTACCTTATTTGATAAGGATTTCAAAATTAGTTAAAAATGGTCGGTAATGAATAATGATTAAAAATATGAATATTTCTATAGTAACCAAGTTCTATTCTCTGTTATAATTTTATCGAATAGGTTGATACAGTTTCCTAAACATGTTCTTTCTTGTCAAATAAATACATATTTCTTCAAAGGTTTCTTACTTGTTACATTCGAATTTTTGTCTGATTATAAAATTTTTATTCACATTCTTGAAACTAAGCCATATACTTCCTTATATCATTAAAGGGTTAAAGTATTCCGGACAAGCATAAATTATCATTGATAATGTATGATCCGACAGAAATGTTATTCTCCAGTAGCATGGTGAATTCTAACACAAAGAAACACACACAAAAATAGTATGTTAGGGTATGTGTGTAGATTTGTACATGCTTTAGAAATATTAATACACTTAGATGACATTGAAATTTCAATTCAAAAACATTATGAACTGGAATTTTGACAGGATTGTCTAAAGTGTTTCAATGTATTTTTTTTTCAACACTAATAGATAGAAGTAAGATGGAACCTTTGAATGAAGAATTTTTGTGCATCAAAAGTGAAATGAAAATTTAACGAACTATTGATTCAACTTGTTAATTCTTGGTTTGAATTCTTTTATGACTGATAAACTGTGGATAATGCCAAAGGGTTTTAGCAATAATGATTACCAAAAACAATTTAAGAAAAATAATTTTTCTTTTATCATAAACTGACATCAACAAAAGACTTAAAGTAAATTAAGGAACATTAAATATTTGTTTCATATTAAGTACAGTTAAAAACAACCATAAGCTTATTGATGATAAATTTCAAGAAAGATTCCATAAATTCGAATGGTGTCAGCCATGACTGGTTTTCAGTGAATCTACAGCTAATGTGAGAACGTGATATAAAATCTTTTTCAAAGCGAACTAGTCTTAACAAATCCTCTATCTTAGTAATTAATAGAAACGTTTCATACCATAGCCTTACACTAGCATATTTGATTATTCTCCTTTTTCCTCCTCACCATTTCGTCCTTACTCCACCTCTTCATCCTTTTCCTCTTCTTCTTATTTCCTCACTTCGCCCTCATTATTACTATTATTATTGTCATCTCCTTTCTTTTCGTGTTCCTTTTCATCTTCTGTCTTTTCGATGTTCACGTATGAGGACAAGTATGCGCGACTGTACAGTGGATATAACTATACATTTCTGTTAATCTAGCTAGTAGAATTGTTATTAGATAGAATATAGAAAATTTGTCAACCATAATAATATATTCATCTAAAATGTCACTTTACGAGAGGACCTTGGACGAAATAGAACCACTTACAAATGATATAACCGTAGAGATCAACAATTGGTTATACTATAAAAGTTTTAAGCCTAGAAGAAATTGTTTATTAACCTTCCTTATCCACCTGACATATGCACGACTAAACTGATATAGCAAAGAATCTAGACAACCCGATAATCATAAATTTCTTTCAGCACATCGAGTGACTGAATAAGTTTGGAAAAGTAGAAGATTTATGCGCAACTAAGACAACACCAGATTAGACAGTCAGAAGCAAATTACCCTGAAACCTTAAGGTGATATGTACAATGAAAAACCCTGAACAGATAACAAGTGTATTGACCTTGAGTAATCCGATGTGGATTAACTTAGCGCTTCTTGGGTTTTTGCATGAAACTAAAGAGCACTGAAATATTTTTATCATAATCTGAATTAAGTAAAAATTACCAATATTTGATTTTCAGAATTCTTAGTATTAATAAAAATATTTTTATGTAACCATAGATAGCTTAAGCTAAATTGCAAAAATTACCTTCTCCTGGCTAGATTGTATATGATAGCACGGTAAAGGATGCATGAATAGTTAGGAAGAGTTGTCCAAGTCCTACTCCAGATCTCACTGCTAACTTCTATCAGTTTATTTATTAAAAAAATGGTAAAGCATCGCCAGCGCCAAACTACGTTTTTTGTTTGCTAAAATAAATAATCTAACATACAAGCGCTTATTAATCTTACCAAAGCTATTTATCCACTGTAATTTTGTTATCTTTTTATTGTCAAATGTTTTCACTAGTAAGCACCATTATTTTTTATTGGTCTGTAAGTTACCCAAGGTTTTAAAAATACTATTCATTTACTCCTTCCCACCTGATCGACAGTATGTTTGCGTTGATCTATGGATGAACTTTTCCCTTTCGGGATGTCTTTGAAAACTGATAAAATACTTCTTTATTGTAATATTAATTCAAAAGTCTTTCAAATAATTCAAGTTAAGAGTTAGTCGATTAAAGTAATTTCGAAACGCAGAACACTATATATGCTGTTGAGTTTGATTTGTTAAAACTTTACAATGACTTAAATTTAAGGTCACTGAATAACTCACAAGACTTCTCTAAGATACTTTATGATGGGTTGCAAAAAATGTTTCACAGCTTCTTTAGTTCAGTCAATTATCGATTTAAAGCCAGCAACAAAAATGCATTACATTAACTGAGATCATGAACCGATCGATGTTAGATCACCATTAAAAACCTAGAACCACTGGATGTCAGTCTCATCATAGTATGAGGTCTTCAGAAGTGCGCAACCATGACACCGTACGCGAGATTCGAACACATGTCTTTCGGTCTCGCGACTGAATGCTTAAATTCCATAGCAACAAGCATGCATTCAACCATCCAGCTGAGAAAATACAACTCTGATAGGAAGTATATTCAAAATATATAACTTATCCACAAAATGAAATTCATTTAGGTGGAATTCACTTAGATCGTACAATATCCCTCAACAAACACATAAATGATTATGAACCGACCCATATTATGTTTAAACACTTCATGTATGCCTCACAAATGTATCTAATAATGGTTGTTATAAACGAAAATTCATAATCCCCATGAGGACCTAAACAACTATATCGTTTTCACTGATAAACTCTTGAAATGATTCTAGCTAACCCACCTCCAGAAACCTGGAAGTACTGGAAGTCTTGACTCAATGTTGTATATTACTTACTTACTAACTTACTCCTGTTACTCCTCGTGAAGGAACATAGGCCGCTCAACAGCATTCTTCATCCAACCATGTCCAGCGCAATCCTTTCCAGATCCTTCCAGTTCCTATTCATCCTTTTCATATCTCATTCTATTCCCCGACGTAATGTGTGATCTTAACTGGTAATACTAACTTCACAAAACACTTAAGAATGATTCAGAATGATAAACATCTTTCCGACTTTGGTTAAACCTAAATTAATCATATTAACACCACTCACACACCGAAATACACGAATTTTCTTATTAGTTTCAATGGGTCACTATTAAACGTGAGTTCAGGTAGACTCTTATCAGTCTTATAGAAGTATTTTAAACTTTCAGGGTAAACAGTATATAAAGTACTTGAAAAAATCACTTTCGTAAAACAAATAAATAAAATAAATCTTTATTGTAGATCTAATTTAAGCAATTTTATATTTCATCAGAAATATGATTTACAATAAATGATACAATATCATTTCAATTTCACCTAAATTATC